AAGGGGAAAAAATAAACTAAAATTATAGTTTACTGCATTTATTATAGTTCTTAAATAGGAACAAAAATCAGCCACAAAATCCTAATTACTCGATGTGAGCTCAAACCTTTGGACACACTTGTGTTTCTAAGCACTACTTAATTTCAATTAAAAATTTTTTTAAAAAAAGCTCTGATCATCTACCACAAGTGGTTACATAACCCCAGTCTGACTCAGCCAACAGATAGATGGCAATAAATCTGGCATGATTGAGAAATAGTCATTATAAAAACTTGAGACTTATTCCCTCATAAACAATCAACATTCATTTAATGTCCACCACTTAACGCTCTAACAGCATTTTGAAAAATGTACATTGGGCATATGAAAATGTTACATAACTCATCAATACATACAGTGGAATAATTGGTCAAGGTTAAAGCCATGATAACAATAGTAACTGTGCCGTCCAAGAGCAAATGTACACTGTGTATCATTAGCTGCCTCAGAGTCCTTTATGCCACCCCCTTTCGCAGTGCAGTGGAAATTTCCTTCGAGAGCTTTTAAAGACGTCAGAACTGGACCGATCGCCTGAATAAAATCCCGTGAGAACAGAACCTGAGCAACAACGCCTCAACACGGAACAGGGAAAACGGGCTAATAAAACACAACTCATGGCGTAAATGAGCTCATCTGCCCTGTTGACGTTTTAATTAAACCCGACATCTATAATCCACAAACCCGAGTGAACATCGATCACTGTAGAGGCCAAAAATCAGAATCAGGTGGAGACAAAGGGTGCTGGAAATAGTCAGAGCACCTTCGCCTGGTTGGCCAATAAAGCTCTTAAAAAATTGATTTTCTGGAAATCTCCAAGCACTTGTAAGCATGCGAGAAACATGGGGGTAAAAACGACTCATCACGACGTCGGTTGGTATAAAACTAACAAAGTAAATAAAATGACGGTCTCCTAAGTGTTTTCATACAAATGCACTACGGCATGCTGTACAATTTAACGCAAGCGTTACGCTTTTGTGCCAACTATCAAAAACAACGCATTCTTTTCATGTCAGCAACAAAAACCAACATCGATGACATAACCCAGTGAAGGTTAGCAAGCGTGGGCACAATACGGACAATTTTATCCGCATCCGCGATGCGACTGAATGGCAATTTAACCATTTAAGCCTTAAATGTTTTTCATTTGACGATTAAAAATAAATACAAAGCTAATCTTGCTCCGAACAGCTAACATGTAGCACTTAGCATCGGGCTAACAATTTCAGTTGCGTAGCACGTATTAGCCATTCGGTTAGCATTAGCCGGCTAATAGGAGCGATGACTGTCAACAACGTTACGTGACTTCTGTCTAATTGCTGAGCACCAATGTACAGTATATATTTAAATTTCAATTAGGTATATCAATTATTTTGTTTATATATCATTTATAAACTTTTGTCAAATAAAAAAAAGTCCTGACAACTGTTTAGGAGCGTCAACGACCACGTAACATCGCGTTATTGTGAGCAACATACATGACTTGTACCAGTCGTTCCAGTAAATAGACAGTAGTACACCTTGCTTAGGCCGCAGCTTTTATAACTTAGCATTTAGCTTTGTTTTTCTTTTATTATTTTCTCCTAAAAACAGCCGACACCGACATACCTTTCGGGTTTATTACTTGACTGCTCAATAACAGGCATCTCGGGTCTTTCTTTTTCTCTTACAAAACAGTGACTATTCAAAATCGTCTGTAGGTTGGATTTAACCATCCGGCCAGCGTCCGCCACAGGCTGCTCGCTCCGTCTCCGCTCCTCGTCGGCTGATGCCAGAGTCGGGGCTGCGCGCTGCGGCTGATCAGTCAGGGGAGTGTCCCGATCACCGTGACGTATCGGGACGAGGCAACCAGACCATTTAAATGATCCGGTGAAACTGTTTAATATCACTTCCACGTTTGGGCCTTTTTAGTTTGTCTTGCAATGTTTGAATGTATTTGTTTCTGTGGTAAATGACATGCAGTTTTAATAGTGTTGACAAATATTTTGAGAAACATGTTGGAAAAATATACATTTATGAGTAGATTTATTGTATATTAATTACAATAAATCTAAATTCATTTTTCTTATTCGAAGAAAAATGCAAGTACCTGAAGGACAATCATATTTTGATCAAAAACACACCAGACTCAGACACACACACCTACAGTTCAACTTAAAGTGAGACTTCTTGTTAGTGTAATAGTTCTGTTAGGGTTATTTTCTGAGCCTGTATTCACCCATGCATGAAACTTGGTTAAACAGAAAGTGTTTTGGGAGAAAAACGTGTCCCACATCCCAATCTTGAAGCTGAGAATACAAAAAAAAAAAAAAAAAAAAGATTAATAATAATAATACATAGACAGAGAAAGTAGAATTAAATTGACCCTATTAAGTTTGGGACATTGTGTCCCTTTCTTTTGTTAATGTCCTTTCAATATCCTGATCCATTTTCATCAAAAATCACACCTTGTTGTTTCATTGAAATATTGTGTCTTTGTGATTGAGCAGGTGAAATGGAAAAGCTTGGGAGAGCTGATGGTACGATGGGTAAAACTAGATACAGAGAATACTCGGAAGAAAACCTGTCAGAATCAGTCAAAGACTTGAGCCTGGTGAAGAGGCTCGTTTTCCAGCAGAACAGTGACCCTGCACATAAAGCTAGTGCTGTCATTGAATATTCATGTGTTGGAATGACTTAAAGACCTGAAACCAACTGAGCCTCTGTGGTGAGGCTTGAGAATTGTAATTGATTGCTCTATTAAACAGTGCTCCCAATAAAAAATATCAAGGGGGTATGAATAGCTTTGTGGGGCTCGATATGCTACTGCTACTTCTAGCACAATTCTCCAGCTGCTGGTAAGTATTAGGGATGTTGTCTTCGTCTCACCGCCCCTCACCCCGTGCCTCTCTTCTGTTGCTGTCAGTCAAGAAGCTCAGGACCACGTTGAAGGGTTTGCGTGACACTTCCCCTCTACTCGACTCAAAACAGGGATCATAACTTTTCCGACCCTTGCATCTTGGTAAAGAGAAACTCAGGTATGTGTACTTTCTGATGGCTGATGTATAACAAATTTTTATAGCTCCATGTGTTTGCAGGCCCCAATTTAGACCTTTTAAATCATGCTGTTGGAGCATGGTTTGCAAGAGGAAAAACAACATTTACCTTTTTGATTCTTTGTTTTCAAAACAGATCGAGTTTGGACCAAGGTTTCATCCCAATTCTGAGAATTCAGAAGTTAGGCCTGGAACAAATAAAGAAAAACAAATCAGAAGTAATACCAATGTCCACCATGTGCAGCCATCTGAGTGTGTGGACACCACTCCAAATTCTTTGACCCGTTTCCGTCTCTCCGTAGTGTCTTATGAGCGGATTCTGTCCATTGAAAATTTGAACGATGTTCCAAATCCATGGAAGGGATTCACGATGAACCGCTGTTTGGTGGTGGCGCTGGTTGTGATTCTGGTGAGCTCAGGAGTAAACGAAGTTCATGGTGAGTGCTCGCCATCACTTTTATACATTTTATGTTCACACGTGGTTCAAACCCAGGCTGTCAGATTGTTGTTGTGTTTTTGTTTTTATTATTTCAATAACTGGTTCGACCACAGCATAGATATTTAGTGACTCTGCCACGGCTAATACTTTGGTGTGTTATCTATTTTGAACACAACAAATGACAGCTCTTGTCTAATCTTCAACTAGTTTGTTTCGGCAGACTTGAGGGTGTTTTATATTTGTGTGTTTTAGAAGCTCTGGATTATTTTGTGGAGGAGACGGGTATCGGGTATCTATATGACTGTCTCCAAACAGGCACTCTCCCTCAGGTAGGATCTGTCACTCCAACACTGATCCTTTTTATGTAACTCTTTCTGTCAAAACAAAGATATTTAGGGTTTGGGATTCTACAGAGACATTTCATACAATGCTTGAAAGTGGATTATTTTCATCCTATTGATGGTGAACACCTGAGCAGCAAATTACTCACAGTACCAAAATATTCACAATCCTTAAACCGTTTCACAGACTGTCACATTACAAAATTGCACTTCAGTATATTTTGTTGGTATTTTTTGTACTAAACCAACTAATTAGTGTGTAATTGTGGAATGAAAGGAATTTGATGCATCTTATTTCACTTCTTTTTTTTTTTTTTACATTCCCCATAAGACGCAGCTGGAGTCAGATAATTTCCATTTCACTTTATAATAAAGCACTGTCTTGTTTTGGGTTGTTGCATACAAGATGCAACACTATTTTTGTATTAGTTGGTATTTCTTACCTGATAAAATGTGGGAAAACATGGGCATAATGCATTTTGTAAGGTGATATTTCTTGAAAAGTGTTAAAGGACAAAATTGGGAATTTATGCTCATTTCAAGATAGACTTTTACAGCATGACTGCCAACACCTGAAACGAAGTAAAAAGGCTTTTATGTTTATAAAATAATTTTATGCGGGATAATAGATGGTAACTTCATGGTGAATCATTATTGAATGCCTCTTCCAGACCCTCATCTGTCTCACAACAACACAGAAAAGCTGTAATTTTGCTGAAGCTTGTAGTTTTGGTGTGATTGTTATTGACCCACATCCGGCCACCACTTGTCTAGAGATCTATTTTTTTAGACTTAGTATTATATTATTCATTATGCTTTATCTTTGCCTCACCAGAATCAATGTTTCCTATTTTCTGCCCTCAGTTTTCCATATGGGACAGCGTCACAAGTTGGTGGGGATCCGAAGAAGTCGGGGCAATACGAAGAAGAAAAAAGCCAATAGGGAAGAAAGTGATCTTGAAACCGAAAGCTAACGAGTGAAACACAAATATAAAGTTACACATTTCTTTAAGTGACTCATCAGACTCCAGAATAAATGACAAAAAACACAGAGTGGCTTTGAAGATGGTGTTTTTAATGTATCATCATTTAATTACTATGTAATTGTCTTTGATTGTGCTTTTTAAGTCAAAAAAATATGTGTTACATGCATGGTACAATATTTACTTGAAAGTAACAGCTAAAGAAATCTATGTAAATAATATGAATTTACGGCACTATTTAAATACTGCATGCAGCAAAAAATAATATTAAAAAAACACGACTCTTATTTCCCTCTGAAGAACATAGTTCAGGTATTTCGAAACACTTTTAGCGACATCCGCACTCCTTGGCCACCATATTGGGCTTGCTTGTGAGGAAGCTGCCCTCGTCGTTCCAGTCTATCACCTCCAGGGGGTCGTAGGCCAGCGGCACGCAGCAGGGCCCCCGCTCGTTCACGTCCCCCCTCTCGATGTGGTAGGTGAGCAGGACGGCGTGGTTGTTGCCGTTGTTTTGCGGAATCGCGCACGAGCCGCGGCAGTTGTTGAGGTCGGCACTCTGGGGACCCAAGACGAGCTTTTCCAGGGACACAGTGAGGCTCCCAAGCCCACAGATGGGGCCCCTGGTTGAAGGGCCTGCTCTGGTGGCCCTCAGCTTTCTCTGTATGTTGTACGCACGGGTCACCGTCTGCAGGGCCTTCAGGAGGAGGAAAGCGCAGTACTGGCTCTCTCCTGTTTGAAACGGAAAATTAGATATTGTTTTATTTCATTTTTTAAAAAATATCAGGCTTAAACAATGTGAACCGAGAGGCTGATGCTTTTGCCTCCACACACCTTCTGCTGATGAATCTTGCTTCTGAAAAGCACTGAGCTGCTTCAGCCTCTCCAGCTTCTCCGATGCTGTGTGAGGCACCATTCCCTGCCTTATCAACTCCCTCATCTGCCCCTCATTCGTTTCCAGCCTCTGTCCCAGTTCCCCCAGCAGAGCAGGGGAGAGGGCCAGCTGGCCAGGACGGATCGGGAAGCTGGAGCTCCAGCTGCTGAAGGAAAAGATAGTCGGGGCAGAGGAGTTAATGAGCTCCGCCAGCAGGGCCTCACTGGTGGAAAGGCCAAGAGCCAGGGGAGGAAGGGACTGCAGGGAGTCGAGCCGCAGCAGAGGGGGCTCGGCGTGTTGCTGCGGCAGGCCGGCATCAAGGAAGCGTCTCAGCTCACACAGGAAGGAGAGGGAAGTCGTCTGGGAGGAGGCCGCTGACGAGCCCGACCTGTTTGCATGTCTGAGACAGAGACGACAATGAGAACTTGATCCAGCGCCACATCACTTGAAAGAAGGAACGTGAAACCCAAACCAGCCTCGTATCGGTTCCTGTTTCTGCAGAGAAAAGCAGAAGCGGAGTCAGGCGAACGTCGCTTCCTGATTTTCCACCAATGAGCACGTCTGTCAAGTTTTGTCCTGCATGACAGGAAACGTGAGGAGGTCGAAGATGACACACGAGACACTGAAAACAGGAATAAGCAAGACGTCTTACTCGTGCCGGGGGATTTTGCCTGAACAGAAATATTCCACTTCTGTTCCACATTTTCCTCAGATGATTTTCCTGTTAGCAGGATGTACAGCGTCCTCCCTGAAATGCAAGCAGACTAGAAAAAAAACAAAAACCTTGTGGTCAGAACACAGTGAAACCTGCGACTTCTGGGGGGAAAAATATCGGTATTAAATTCAGAATGACCCATTTAAAAAAAAAACAAAGAAAAAAACATGCTTTCAATATATTCTTGTTTTTTTTCAAAATGGACAAATATTCTAGCCAGTAATATATTAATTTATCAGCCTTTCCATAATTTAATATCGACACTCAAAATGTTTTCTGATGATCACTAAAAATAACTGACAAAAACAGGTAGTTTTTTAGTGCTTTGAAAGAAAAAAATTATTTAATGGCCCCCAACTTCAGTAGTTTCCATTGAAGCAGTGTACACTGAATACAACTTCTATGACTAAAAAAAAACAAAACAACACAAAACATTCAATTTCTGAAATTCACTCAATGCTGTATTTTTTGCTGCATAATGTGATGTAATTAACTTGATGGTCAAGTCAGTTGTATTCTGCAATGACTTAACTTGTTAGCGAACCATGCATTAAGTTAACAGCATGATAATCAAACTTAGATCATTTTGAAGAATTATTGGTGATCAATTGAAAGAGGGGGGCCAAATCACTCTTGGACTTGCCATGATATGGGTCATTTTCTTAACACATAAAAAATGTGCCACATTTTTGCAGTGTTTTTTTTTTCTGTACCTGTGTGTTTGGCTGCAGAGACTGACTAGAGAAAGTCACGCCCAGCTCTCCATCTGGAGCGGGGCTTTTAAATGCTAAGACCAGAACCGGTTTCAGCTCCAACAATTGGGATTGCGGGAGGTCAAAGGTTACCACGATGCTTTCCTGATCATCTTCATCTGACACAAGCACTAGTGGAGGAGAAAAAACATGCAAGCATGGCAAAAATAATCACATCTCTTTAAAAAAAAAAAAAAAAAAAGGTCGTAGATTGTAGACGCCAATACCTGCAGCCGGATCCAAAACCTCCAGGCCTCTTCGGTTGTTCCTTTGTATTCCTACGCTGAGTTCTGACAGGACTGATCGGGACGAACTGTCGGATTCGCTGCAGATCCCAAACGAAGCCGGGCTGCTGGCCAGAAGTTCACCGTCTTTCCCCGTGGCGTCACGGAGAGCTGCCACCAAGTCGTCCACAAAGCAGGGGGCATCCCGATGTGCTGCGGAAGCTGGAATGTGTAGGGATCAAATGAGAAGAGCTGCAGAACAAGCAAGCTAGATATGGGCATATGCCTGACCTGTTACTGGAGGACCAAAGCTGCTCCAGAGCAGGACCAACAAGAACATGTTTCACTGGCGGCGCGAACACCTGTGCGGTCAGACGTCTCCGAGCTGCCTATTAAGTTTGGGTCAAGCTCAGGCGGATGGGAGTAACATCCTCCCACCTTTTCCTTCTCACTAACAGAGGAGTGGGGCACTGAGATGATTAAAAGAAAAAAGGCAGCTGATGTGTCCTTGAAGTGTTCACCGCTCAGAAAGGCAGAAGGCAGGTCAAGGGTGGCTTGTTGAAGATCTTTAACTTTGAAAAGTCAGAGCAAAAACAAGCATAAAGGGAGGATTTAAGTGGAAACAAAAAGGTGTAAGTTAGGTGTCGTTTTCTCCACAAATACAACGAAGGAGCAGAACACAACACAGCTTACAAGTGTTGAAAAATTACATCTACAATTCTACAAAGTACTTCCCAGGAAACACAGTTAACACAGCATGGCTCACATGGAGCTTAATGAAAGTTTTCAAATCTATTATTAGTTTTAAACACAGGATTAAAATATAATAGCAGTGTACCAAAAGTTTTCACTTACTACTTTTACTGATCCCAATTAAGGAATTTATTCATAAGGAATATATTTCTCCTTTTGGACGTTTCAGAATTGGATTTCAAAAATCATTTGATTGAACATTACAATAAAAGGACATAAATAAATAATAATACAAAAAAATAAATAAACTGAATACGACACTACCATTCGTGTTATTCAGTGAAATAGTTCCGGCTATGGAGTATCTGAAATTGTAGCAGACAGGGGAAACAGATTCCCTATAGAGACGTTACTCCCTCCAGGTTCTCACCAATCCAGCCTTGTTTTGCAGACAGTCAAGGTCTCAGGGCTGATGAAGCGCCTCTGAATCCCAGGAGATAAAGGAAAGACCTATTCATGGACATCGCTACTCTGTCAGCACCAAGTGGCAGGAGAGAAAGCTTCATTTTCTCAGGAAAAATGGCAATGTTATGTATTCATAAGAGAGCGCAGTGTTGAAATGGAAGAACAACGACAAACGGCTTTGAATGCATTTTTTGTTCTGTTTTTACAAATGATCTGAAAGGTGCGGTGTGCTTTTTTTATTTAGCGTCATGAACATGACATTTGATCCTGTCAGTTACAGCTTTGCCAAATCTTATTGGAAAATGAATGGACTGGATGGAGAGTTTGTGTTCAAAACTGAGGACATTGTTCTATAATCTAACCCTCCTCCAAACTCCCCCATAAGCTTATCCTTGATTCGCCTGCTGAGTCCCTGGACCAGGAGACTTCATGAGACACAGGCAAAACTCTGCAGACTAACTATGGGCCATCAGCGTAAAAGCGGGGTTGGAAGCTTGTCATTGTTTTTCAAATTTAGCTATGAAAGATATTTTTGGAAGCATGATTTGCTGCTTTCTCTTGGTCTCTTAAATTGAATCATCAAAGTTTATTAAAGTTGGGAGTAATGTGAAAGGAGTCCTTGTCAGCAATCTGTGCTTAAAATCACTGCTTCTTTTTGGGTTGTTAATATTCTTAATTTCAGGCCTTAAAAGTCTTCAATACAACTTCATTTTTTCATCCTGTGTGTAATTCAGATGATACATCTTTTATTTGTACTTTCTGACATTTGCTGAAACTAATTTACAAATGGTTAGACAACTACAATAAAACTTTTCTTGTTGCATTATGCACTATTTACTCATGAGAAAGTTTCACACGGAACCACAAATTCACTCAAAGCCAAAAACCACCAAAATAAATTAATATGAAGTTTACTCTAACACGACAGTATCCACATTAAAGTTGCCCTCGTGACAAAAAATGTGAAGCTGAAAATGTATTTATTACAAATGAAAAAACATAAACTCAATGCATCTTGTTCTATTTTATCCGTCAAATGACGACTTGGAACATACTTGCATGTTTCAAATAGTAAGACTGTTGTGAAAAAGTGAACTGAAAATGAATAAATCCAAATCATACAAAAGGTTCACTTGCATTATAATAAGACAAGCATGTGAAGTATTTATGAGTTTTTCCTTTCAGGGAGAGACAAAATGATTTATTCTAAGAAACAAGAATCTCTTCCTTCTAAAGCTCTAGCTGCATCAATCAGTGGATGGCAGCACCAAAGTATCCTTTTTACTTAACGTTGCCAGATCCGTGGTTATATTTACTACAAAAATAAAATGAGTGCAGAAACATGTTTAAATATATATATATTTTTGCTGTACTTCTCACATTGTAAAATGTTTGTTTTCTAGTTTTACAAATTCTGTATTAAAAATAAAGTGCAGGACATTGTGCTCAGGGGCCACATAAAATCATTAAGAGGGCCACAAACAGCCCTCTGTGGACACCCTTGCTGTAAGGTGATGAAGCCGGGTACAAAACAATAATAAAAAATTAATTTAACTTTGCCTGCTGGGGGTGAATTTAATTTATCTGAAGTCTTGATTTCAAATAGTTCTCCTAGAATCCTTCAGAAACCCTGCTTGTGTATTTATACAGGCAGATATTAATTTTGTTGAAAATCCATGCATCTCCCAATTAAACACACATTCGAGTCAGGATTAAATACACTGAACACCAAGATGTGTCAATATCATATGAAACATTTTTATTAATAAACATAAAAGGCAGGAAAAAAAAAACCCTCCACTAATTCCATTTGTTTCATTTGTACATCATAGGATAAAAGCACCAACATCAAACAGTAACAATTGTTTCAGGAAAAACCCAGGGCCTTTTGGGAAGTAGGTTTGCCATTATTGCACCTCAAACCTGCCCTGGCTTCACCAATCAGTCACCACGCGCACCGGCGAGGTTACGTCTGTCCCACGCTGCCCGTCCCGACACAGCTGAAGGGACCTGGACAGAGAGGACGACCAACCTCCTTCTTGGTGACACATCCCGAGACAGAGGCATTTGTGAGATGAGGAAGATGTCGAAAGCACATTTCACGACTTTTCGGAGGTCACAGCGACTCACAAGGGCTCGACTTCACCTGGGAATGTGGACGCATGCGCCAGAAGGAGTCAGTCGGAGGACATCGCCGACAAATTTTTATAAATTTTTTTTTTTGCTTTAAAGCATGCTCACAGTTAATTTGTCCTGAGCTTAGACTTTACAGGGACTACATGCACTTTTATAAAAATAGAAAGAAAAAGAAGAGTTGTTTGTAGAAAACTGCTGGAAGGTTCCTGAGTTAAGACCTTTGGCAGGATTCGAAGTAAACAGCATTGAGTGCAAAAACTCATCTACCAAAGACGTACCAGGAGAGTTGCAAAAAAAAAAAAAAAAGCTTAAATTTTATATATTTCTGCATGTAACTACAAAACTGATTGAAACCTGTATTGAGCATGTTTAACCTTTTATAGCACAGACTTTTCTTTCGTGGCACATGCATCGAATCACCTCCAAGTGAAAGCCCGAGGAGTCGGACTGGGCCGCCCGGAAAGCAACAAAGTGAGCTCAGGTTGAACATGTTGGAACCATAAAACAGGAAGAGGGTAGGATCTAACAAAAGCTGCAACTCTTTATTTTAAGTGATGGAGAGCACCGTGCCGTCCGTCTGAATAGTAGGAATAAAACCTGACAGGAATCTGCATACACCATAGAAAGCATTACATGTAACTGCAATTGTATCAAACACCAAGAATAGGAAGAGAGAGAGAGAGAGAAAAAAATAATAATTATCCAAACAGCATCAACAATAATTACAAAATACCTCTCAGTGCTGGTAACAAATGGACTAGTCTCTAACTACGTCTGAAAATGACTTACTTCTGTTCGTTTAAACACTCACATGTGAGAACATTGGTTTACATGGGGAGTGCACAGGACAGGAGGTTTTGACTATTAAGCTTTCAATGTTCTTCCCTTAGATATGCACCAGTAAGAGCGGGGAGAAAGGTGAAACAAAAACCCGGCACCCACACAAACTGAGCTCAAGTGCAATTCCTCTAGCAGGTTTAAAAGGAAGCGTTGCTGCTCTCAACCATCAACAGCACTTTACATCAGCACGTCTGCTCGCGGTTACACAACACGGTCGCTTGACAAAGTTCGGCCCCATCAGGAAGAGATCAAGTGTTGGAGAAGACGCCGACGTGGCGTTTATATGCACCAGTAAAAAGATCCGAGTCAGTAAAAACTGAAGTGACGTTGCATTGAAACAGAAGCACCATTTCTTTTTCTTTTTTTCTCCTTCTGCAGAATTTGGGTCCAAAACCAAAGAAAACAAAGAGTTAAAAACACCTGATTAAAGTGATAACAGTTCTAGTGCTGGATTTGAAGCGTGTCCCGAGCGACAGCTCCGGTGTGTGTGCGCGAGCGCTTAAGTACGAACGCGCGCACGCTTTGAGTATCTAGTCCTGTCTTGTTCACATCACGAGGATTCAGGTGGTGCTGCGCTGCCATGTTTAAGGTCCCAAGGTGGTAATGCTTTTGCTTAGCTTGGCTTCAAGCCTCCTGTTTTAACAGGCTGAAAATAAGGGTCAGAATGTGAGCACCAAACATCCCTCATTACTCTCTCTATATATATGTATATATTTTTATAGCTATATACATATATATTTATTTACTTATATAGATGTAATGTAAATAGATACATACTTTATAAAACTTTGATGGGAGACTTACAACGACAAAAAAAAAATATATAAAAACAGTGTGCCTTATTCACTGAGAGATAAGAAGCTCACTTCTGAGAGAAAAAGCAGTCCGACTATATATATGAAAACCCTCTGTAGGAGAAACATCAACACCTATTTCCTCAGACTCTGAGGCAGCTACTGGAGAGCTTTATCATCACCTACTGCTGTACACTAGGCTAAAAACTGAGACAAAAGCATATTAAATATGAGAAAAGAAATGCCAAAAAAAAATACGGCCTAACGAATGTCCCTGTGTAGAGCACCAAGTATTCAAATTGGGTTTTTTTTGTTTCTTTTTTCTGATTTCTATTTACAATAAATAAGATCAGGCACAGTCCAAACTTAGCACCATTGTTTTCAGACTGTGAGTCAAGTACACACACACACACACGCACACACTATTGCATTCTACTTTGTCAACACAATTCAGAATGAAGAACAAACACCAAGGCAAAAAGGAGAGACGGACAGCATAAATAATAATCTTCTGAATTATTCACAACTATACAGTTGGAGAATGAATCACATTCACAGTACAAACATTGTTTACAAACCAAAAAAAAAAAAGACAATTAACAAGCAAACAAATGTGTGAAGGGAGTCCAGTAGTTTTTTTGTGGTCACTGTAATTAAATTTTTTTCGTTGTTGTTTTTTGTCTTTTTGCCAGTGTGCGAGGGTTTTGCATGTCTGCCTGTGTATGTGTGCGTGGTTGTTTCTACCAAGCGCAGCAAAGATAAATAGGGCAAAATTTAGCTTAAGTTCTGTTTTAAAAAGAAAAACAAAAAAAAAAACCCGGCTGCAGAAATGATTCCAAGTAGTAGTGTGACTTAACTAAACTGACTCAGAAACAGAAATCTCAATAAATAGAGAAACTAGTTGAATTCTCTAATTATGTACATCTGCTTTTAAGCTTTTTCACAAACTTCCAACTAAACTCCGACAGCAAGCCGCTGCTGCAGAGCAGCTGCCTTGTCAGAGAGCCACGCGACTTAGTGAATTTCATTTCATTTCATCTGCTTAGATTGAAACATACTCGACTGGTAATGTGAACCGCTAGGACTAAAAATCAGAACATTGTTGCAACATCTACAGATGTTTTCCATATTTTTCACTCATTAGTTAAATTATTAAGAGAAGAGATGTCTTCTCTTAATAAGTATCACAAAGAAAGTCTTGCTGATATGCTAAATGCTTGATATTAGATGAAAATACAGTCAATCACACCTCATTCCAATGTCTGATTTGACTCCAGCTGAATTTCAATTCATAATCAATGCATCAGGCAATCAAAATGATCTGATTTTGGTTTTTAGAAAACATATCAGGGTGTCAAATTAACCACCCAAGACTGAAACATCTGCATCCTTAACATCCAGTGTGAAGTTAAACCAAATGATCCTCATCTTGCTTCAGACTGAAAAAAGAAAAAAAAAGAAAGAAAAGCAACACGTGCTCAACTTCATAGGGAAGAATGGATAAGAGAACATGCATGCAGCGAGGCAAAGCTGCATGATATCTGAGCCCCGTTCAGTCAACTGGCTCTGCGTTGTGTGTTTCAATGTACAGACACGTACACACACACACACACACAAAGACACACACACACATTAAGTGAAGCTTTGGAAGGAGTGTGGCACCTGATTAGGCTGACAGGATGTGTGCTTCATGCTGTGATTTCATTTTTCGAAAGGATTTTCTTCCTTTCTTGTTACCACAATTATATCTGAGCACCTTTAAGATGAAACTAATACAATCATTTCTCTCTCTGATGGCTGACTTTCAGATTTTAAATCTTCATTCATCAAACAGAAGCAAGACTCTTGACTGCAGATTCTGCTCCAGGTGACCACAGTGGTCCTTAGTGTGAGTGTGTGTGTGCGCGTGTCCCAGATTTTCCCCGTAAGAAGCCGGTCTTGGAGGCGGTTGGGTAGTGCAGACAGTTTGAAGCACCAGTAAATGAGGAGTGTGCCTTGGTCCACGCCTGGACATTTGCATAGTTTATGTTGTTGCTGAGGTAGTTCGCATCAATTACCTGCAACAATTACACACAGAGAAACGACACAGTTGGTCACTCAGGACATTTCACACAGCAACAGCAAAGCAGCAGGCAGGCAGAGTCTTTGCGCCCCTTGAGCCTTTCTCATATTTGGTCATGGTACAAATACCAATTTAAAGGAGCTTACCGCAACTTTATGTGATAAAACAAAAAAAAAAACGTTATGAATATCTGAAGTGGAAGGCTATCAAACATTTGAACAAATGAACAATATTCTACTCAGGTACAATACAAATTATATCTAGTCCAACAATCTGCTTTCAAAAGTCACCAAACCAGTAAAACAAATTAAAAAAATTAAGCATAAATTCAACTGTTCTGCTTGAGAATGTAAGGGGACAAACAGGAACATGAAGATCAACGACCAGAGCAGACGGGCCAAGGATGGGTTTGGTTCAGCGATTCGTGTATGGGCAGGAGGTTTTAGTACAAATGTCTTTATTCATGCTTGTTCCATTGGCGGGCCGGGTCAATAGGTGGCAGCAGTGCTGAGAAGAAGTGGCCTATACAGGCACACTAAATTCAAGTAACAGTGTTGCAAATTTAGCAAAAAAAAAAAAGCTACAAAAGTTGTATAGCTTTTATAGCTGGTAAGATTGACAAGTTACCAAAGCTTGAAGTTTTGAATGTTACTGTGTTGAACCTAGAAATACACATCCCGGTGAATAATTTGCACTTTTTCTCTAAAGAATCCCACATTCTCAGGAGAAATGAGAGCAGGGATGGGGTCCAGACTAAGGACAAGGCCGAATGCTAAGAACTTTGACAAATATTTCAGGACATTGGCTGTCAGCATTGCGATACGTTTGTTACTCCGTGTGTCAAGTCCTTTACGGGTTAGGTTGCAGCAAAACAACAAAAATGCCTACCACGTTTTTTCAGTTCTTATGTGCAAAAGAGTTTGAGTGCGCTTAAGTTATGTACTACTTTTAGGTCTAACATAAAATCCTACTAAAACAGAGATTTTCGCTGCAGCACCCTGACAAAATATGGTCTGGTCAAGGGGCGTGAATACCTTAACAAGACACACTCTGAAATGATTAAAAATAAAAACACTCGAGACATTCGTTATTCTTCTTACCTTGTTCATTCTGAACAACAGCTGGTAGAAAAACAGGGAAAACAGGTATCCTGTCTCTCTCTCTCCCTATCTTTCTCTATCCACCCACTGATCGCCCTCCTCCCTTCCCCTCTTCATCCCCTCTTCCCCACTGCCCCTTGGCCCAAACGCTATCTGGGCCGGGAGCCGGGGATTTGGGCGGCGGCGTGGGGCCCATGCATGCCCTGAGTCCTCCACATGCTCCCGCCACCGCCTGAGGCGCTCGGCAGTGGGGGCAGGGGCAACCGGGGGGAGTAGTGCACTGCGAATGGACGAGACGAGGACGAGGTGGACAGAGACGAAGAGGGGAGGGAGGGGGAAGCAGCGACAGTGGTGCAGACAGAAGTTGAAGCAGTGGAGGAGGTGGTGATGGAAAGCGAGAGAGATAAGTGTATTCGCTGGTGATGGAGGGACGGCTGGGGCAGACGTAATGGGTGGAGGGGGTCTGACCGAGAAGATGACGAGACGTCAGGGTGTGTGGAGGCTGCGGAGGAAGAGGAGGAGGAAGAGGAGGAAGGGACACTGTGAAGGGGCGGTGGAGGGGGAAGCGAGAGAGTGGGAGGGGAGGGACTGTGCAGCACTGACTGCGTGCGGCTGTGCTGGGCCTGGGACGGCGAGAGTGAGACAGATGAAGACGCGGAGGTGAGGCGCGTGGGGGCAGGCGGAGCAGTGGTGTGCTGCTGGGTTTGGATGGAGGCAGAGGAAGAGGAGGAGAGACTGAGCAGAGAGCTGAGGCCTCCAGAGGTGGACAGCGTCGCCCCAAACTGATGGGAGGACGCTGAGGGAACCACATGGTGAAAAATACCTGCAAATCACACAGCAGAAACGGGCGAGAGAGCGGAAGAAGACAGAGCAGATGACAGCAGCGGAGAGAGCGAGGAGAGGGGGACAAAGAGAGAAGCAAGGGCTGAGCCGGGTTGAGCACAAGCGCCAGGCAAGTCTGAGACAAGCGGGCAAAAAAAAAAAAAAAAAAAAAAAAAGCAAACAGAGTCAGTTCACTGCTAGCTGCAAAAGCTCAGAGAAAATGGGTGGGCCAAGAAATTTGAATTTTATTGCGATAATTTGTGGTACTACAGTGATAATGCTAAAAATGATACTACTTTACTTCTTTGCATGGAACAGCATTCATAGCACCACAGACATGATTTTTGAAAGGCCTTCCCATTTGAAACGGGATTCTTCAGGACACCACTTACTGAAAGATTTACATCACTAAACTGCACAGTGACTGCTCTTTGTCACATCTTCCAATTTACTGAAATGTTCTGATTCTTTCGTGGAACTATGTGGAGAAAAAGAACATTTTCAATGATTTTGTTTTGTATTTAACATTATTTGAAATTTACCAAGCCAACAATAAATCTAAATTCTTATCATGATAAGAAGTTTTTTGCAATAAATGCCCAGCCCTGTAAGAGATTAAATTAATTTATGGAAAAACGGGTTTCAGCAAACTGACTCTGATACAAATCTCAAATATATACACCCCAGGAAAATGACAAGGTATTAAACATTCCAACTCTTTTTGTCAATTGTTTGAGTTTTCTATTCACTTTTGTTTCAGAATTTCTTCATTCGTTCCTAACATTGTCCCGGGGTGTTTCTAATTGCATCATTCAAGCAGCCAGTCCATGTAGGAAGCAAAGCAGCACAGAAAGTCTGTCATTCAGAAATAAAAACAAAAAAAACAGAGCAACGCTGTGTTCCCGCTCACCCTTCTCATGCATGAAACTAACACCTCACTCTGACTGCTCCTACATTTGATGATAACCTGCTAGATAATCAGTGATGCTCACCTCCTGCTGCTCCCCCTGCCAGCCCCGCGCTGGAGAAGCCGTTCACGAGCCGGGAGGTCCCGTTCACAGAGACACCCGTCTGGGCCCCGAACAAGGACTGCAGGACAGAGGCTCCTCCAAGTGGGAACTGGGAGCCCAGGTACTGCCCCATCGCTGACCCAGTGGTTGAGGATACCGCCACAGGACTGCCCCCAACCTTCCCATTCAGAATGCTGCCTCCGCTGGTGGCGGCAGCGATGAAGAGGTTCTGACTGGCAATGCTGCTGGTGGTCTTCAGCTCCCAGTCGCGGGGGCCCTTTTGCTTCTGAAGGACCTGCCGCTGGTCTGAAGCGGTCCCTCCCTGGACGCCGCTGCTTGCTACCGCCCACGTTCCCGTCTCCTGACTGAGGAAAGGGTTGGGGGTCATGTAGCTGGAGGAATCCCCGTCGCCCGCTTTCCTCCCATTCTGCTGCTTGTAATCCGAATCGGAGTCTGTGCTTCGGCTCGAGCCCCCAGAGCTGAACGGGGAGCCCCCCTGCCTGAGGTCCAAGTTGGGTTGCTTGGGGTCTGATATGGGGGAAAACGTTGATTTCCACTTGCTGTTTGAACAAAAGGATGAAGAGGAAGCCTCACTGCCTGTACTGTTACCACTGCTGCTACCAGATTTCCTTCCTGGGTGGAAAGAAGACAGTCGATTTCCTAACAACTAACAAAAGGCTAAATGAGCAAAACGTTTCCCAAAACGTGCCGTTTTCTCTTCTTACCTCGTTCCCCATCAAGCAGTCTACAATGGCCATCTCTGCTTTCCAGTGATATAGTGGCTATTTTTCTTTCGATGCTAAAAGAGAAGGGACAAACAAAACAAACATGAGCCATGTGGTACAACTCGCATGATGAAATGAGAAGGTATGCAACTCTGGTGAGAATTCAAACTTAATCACTTAAATTCTTTCGTTTTAATGACAGGCTTTTGACAATTACATTTTTGGAAAATATGGATTTTCCCTCCCACCCCCCACCAATGCACTCCTTGGGTTTTTAAAGTTCAGAGTGATGTCAGAATGCCTAGGGCAGCCATCTTGTTTGACAACCATGTTTTACTTTTAAATTTATTTGGACTTAGAATTCAGGTGAACTCAGATGGAATATGGGAGGCCTGGTTATTTTTTTTATTACGAGAATAAATTAATAATATTACAAGAACAGAGTTGTAACATTTGGAGAATGAACTACGGTTTTACAGATAAGGATAAACTTTATCTTTTCATACATTAGCATCAAATGAGTATATTAAAACTTTAAAACAATGGAAATAGACAGTTTCTTGCACAAACAAAAGTGCTCAAATCGAGCTGCTTAGGTTAGATAATTCTAGAAGCCTTTTTTTTTACATTAAAATGACTTTTCATGTAATTTTAAGATGTTTTTTTTTCTGGTAATATTGGCTCTGTCACTGATTTAAATGCTGTAGTTTGTTTGAAAGATTTGACAATGAAAAGCACAGTCTGGGCAAATGAATCCAAAGCTGTTTGAATTTCAGTGAACACATCATGCAAGAAGAAAGGCCGCTTCTGCTCATCTCCCCTAAATCACCAGTGAAGTGACGTCTGCAGATGGGAACATACAGAATGTGGCTGTGTTGCAGCATACAGGACTGGCAGACTTCCTGTTAGCGAAGGAGGATGAATGGAGAACCGACCAGGATATTCTCGATAAGAATCTGAAGATGAAACCTGTCCGGATTTCCGAATAACACAATAGTCCCAAAACAAAGCCAAGAAAACTCTACACTGATTTCAGAGAAAGAATCTGCTAGAATGACCCAGTGGGTAATCTGGCTTATGTAAAATTTGAAATATAAGAACTGAAGATTAGAGTGCATTGAAAGGATCCCACTTCCTGTAGGATTTAAATGCAGTTTTTGTGGAGAAAAAAAAGGGGGTCAAAAGTCACATCTAAGCAATGAGTGTGACGAATTTTCATTATAGGAGATGTCTTAAAGTGCTCAGTAACCAGAAAAATATATAAATGTTTTTACTTATTTGTCTTTTTTTTCCTTTTAACCAGAACTGAATCATATTCAATAATAATAATAATAAAAAAAACAATTTTTATTTGTTAAAAACAATTATTTTCTCAGCAGAAGCAAACAACAACAAAAAACCTGGAGAAATGATGGGAAAAAGAAAAAATCTGCAACTAAACCCAGGACCAGGAAGACATCTTGTAACAGATACAGTTCAGGCAACATTTGTGGTCGTTGCTGAAGCGCTACATTACCGGGAACTGGAGCTGTCCGGGGGATATCCAGAGTCCTCATCATCCGAGCTGGGAGTGGTCGAGTATCGGCCATTACCATTGAGCTCCAGGGGGCGCTCTCTCTTCAAGATGGGGGGCTGGTCCAGGTCGGGACCATGGGGGCTGCAGCTTGATTGTTCTGGAGAAGAAATGGCGGAGATTTCCAGGGGCTGGTTGATGTTGTTCACCTGTTCAGGTAAATAAGAAAATGTTCAGTGAAAAAAGATACTTGAGCTCAGACAGACAATTTCATTTAAAGCAAAGTTCAATCTGACAACCACAGTATGAGGATTACAACTTCATGTTTCCAGGTGCGTTAGCGACTCACCATGGAGTTGATGTTGAGTGGGGATCCTGTTGAGTGACTGTTGGAGCTGACCCCAGGGAAGGAGCGTCTCTTCGGGGATCCGCTGGCCGCCGCCCCGGTGGAGCCGCGTTTTCTCCTCCCGCGCCTCCGCCCCTCCTGAGAGCCAAAGCTGTGGGAGGATGACGTGTGTGTTGGCGTGTGTGCGTGCTGCGTGTTCGGAGACTGGTGGTGGTGGTTCCCATGGTTACTGTGGTATCCCTGCTTGGTCGAGCCAGCGTGATGATGAAGGCGTGATCCTCCATTCACACAGTTCCCGTTGCCTGATGGACAGAAAGATGGAGATGAAGACGACGAGAAAATCTTCCTCAGCGGGTCGTCGTCTTGCAGATCCGTGTCGGATTCTTCACCTTGGCGCTCGGCTCCATCTTCAGGGAGAATCCTGGGGGGTCCATCGGCATAGTGGAGCACCCCTCCTGTGCTCAGTGACGGGCTCTGGATGGGACCACCTCGACCCATTGGTCCTGTCAAAGGACTGTTGCTGTGTGGAAGAGGTGATAAAGAAGCACCATTGTGGTCCTCAGGGTGGGGACCTCCATTCATTAGCCCTGAGCTACATGAGTATCCTGCAGAGATGGAACAGTCTACTGTCAGACCCAAACAAAGAACATATCTAAAAGACATTCCAAAATGAAATAAGATATGCCACATCAGATTCAAATTGATAAATACATATATAATTCAGTACAAATCTGTTGAAAAACAGATTTGAGAACTTTACAACCTCAGCAATTTTGACCCACTGTTCAAAAACCTAAAGGTTTAAGAGTTTTCCAAGCTAACTAACAGGTAGCACTGTCAGCACTCTTCTTTGTATACGTTACTACAGAGTGAAGAAGACTTAATGTTTCAAGTTTTTACATCAGAAAATGTAATCACAGTAAGGACAAGTTTTGGTAAGTTAAATGTCAGGAAGGCTATAAAGAAACACTTAGAAAGCTTGAAGTTATCAATAGCTTAGGAACAAAAATTCTGATTGATTATCCAATCATCCTTACCATTGGTCTGACCTGACTGGGACACAGGGCTGGGAGTATTTCTCTGAAAGGACAAAAAAAAAGAAACAAATATTTAAACTAACTGTAAACAGTAGCAATTGAACATGGACTTTTTTTGTTCATAACACATGTATTAACTATTTGAAAGTGAACCATTATTTATAGCAAAAGTTGGGCAGAGATATCCAGGTATTGTAATGTACGAATTGAGAAAACGTACAAGTCTCTCAGCCCGACTGGGCAGCACCACACTGGCCAGCGGAATGCTGACTGGAAGTTTACTGGGATGGACAGTACTCAAAGGGATGCTGATGGGAAGGCTAGTGATGCTGTCACCCTGAACTGACGGACTCCTCTCCTTACCCACCTGGAAAACAACAAACAAGATCATTTTAGTTTCATTTACTGAAGACAAATGCAAAGTATTTTTTTTTGTAGGCAGAATAATTTAAATTTCTCTCCAACACTCAAGTAAAACTAGCTTTAAAAACTGGAGAAATATTACTGTCAATATGTTTTCACTGTTGTGCTCAACTGAAGTAAAAGCATTTTTGAGTCAGGAGATGGCAGCATTTACAAGACAAATATTTCCTGCTCCAACAATCAGTTTACGTCGTCAATTCAGCGATTTGATTTAGGTATTTGAGAAGAACGGAAAAATCTGAAAGTTGCAGGATAGTGGCAGATGAAATGATTCTTAAAATATCTACTCTTAGTCTAGAAGACACAGCATCGATCTAATAAATTACTAAATGTTTCCTGCTTCATGATAGTAAATATTACTCCATTTCAAGATATTGTATAATTCTGATACATAACACAAAAAAGAGTGAAATAGTTAAAAACTGAAAAGCCACAAATAAAAATCAATTAAATAAACAGAGAAACTGAATTTTTACCCTATCGGAGATTTTCACATTACACTGAGAATCAGATGAATTGGGAGAAGGACAGTTTTGTTTGGCTCCATGAGGGGAGTTAACACCTCCCAGTTCCCTAAAAAAAATAGAGAGATAAATTCAGAAGGTGGCCGACATCTTTCTTATTCCGTGTAAGCTTTTAGGAGAAGCCCACCTGTGTGTCATTAGGCTCGATCCTCTCAAGTGAGCAGAGGCAGTGGGGTCTTGGTTGAGGTGCCTCCGTAAGGCAATTTTGGCAGGTGAGAAGCGAGTGTAATCAGGCTGGGAGGAGCTCTGTTGCCTCTGTCGCGCCTCGGAAGGGGCGGCCACCGCGTCGTGGTCCGGAGAGATGGGAAGGTAGCGAGAAAGCTCTGCCTTTCCGTTAGCCCGGTCGAAACATGGCGAGCCTGTCCCGTTGACCGAAAGCTCCGGGCTGATGCCGTTCATTGCTGGGGCCGACGACAGGCCGAACCTACAAGAGTCCATGTCGGTGGAGCCTCGTGACTCCAGACTCTTCCTGTAGGGGGAGCTATCACGAGGGCTGTAGGACTTGAGCTGCAGCAGCTCCTGTTGCCTTTGACTCTTTTCCAGCTCAACGATGCTAATCTGGAAACAAGCAGCAGGGGGAACCATTAGGAAGGACAACATGCATCCATCAATTACATTCCTGTTGATGGAATTACAGCTTAGCTAAAAAACAAGATAAGAAAGGAAAAGTCATGTAGTGACTTGTTTTCACAGAAATGTGAAAATTTAAAACAGAAGCTGAAGAATATTAAACATTTATAATGTTAATTATCCTGCAATCACCATTTCATTGAATACAAATAGAGGATGAGTAAACATTGTTATTTAAAGTGTGTATTAAAATGTTTAATTACCTGCTCACCTGAAATGTATTGTAAATTTAATTGTTTTTAGAAAATCTATTAAGAAGTTACCAACAAATGTACATTCATGTCAGGTTTTAATGTGTAGTCTATTTAATATCTTAGCAATGCGCAGTGCAGTGGTTGCTTTAGAACTCTATGTGCTTTTCCCAATCAAATAAAAATGAAAGCATAAATGACTAAATGAGATTTTCTGTCCAAACAGGCAAATTAGGTTTTTAAAATGTAAAAAATGAAAACAGTAACATTGTTTACTGAGGTCTACATATGGCTGAAAAGCTGTCATTATAAAAGCTGTCAGTCTAACCAAGTCTGACTTTCAACATCTTTGTTTAGATTGTGTTCAAACATAACACACAGCTTAAAAAGTTATTTTTCTGGACTAAAAACATAGAACGACAGGAGGTGTTTGGGAAGGACGGTGAAACGGGGAGTCATTCTATCGGCTGAAAATGAAGTCCAAATATTGAGGTGTGGCGTTTACCTGCAACTCCAAGCAGTGCTTCTGTTTCTCAGAAATCTGTCTGCGCAAAGCCTGCTTCTCCTTCAACAAACTCTCCAAACACAGAGATCCCCAATCGAGCTTCAGCTCCTCACATCGAGACTTGAGCTGAAAGTAACAAGCACAAAAGAGTTTTCCTCTGATATATTGGGAAACAGCACCTGTGAGTTAATGGAGGTTAAAACAAGGTTAACAGACTCTGAGGTCTCACCAGTAGCAGACTGTGGTCCCTCAGGAAAACCATTTCTCTTTCGAGCTGCTTGGTTTGCTCTTTTAGCTGACGGTTGTGGGCTGATATCTCCTTCTGAGCCTGGATGAGATCCTCCACAGTCAGAGCTTTGACTCTGAGCTGTTCACAAACAGATTAAGAAAATATATAATTCATACTGCATTAGTTTCAAGCACAAGTCTTCCTCCTGAAATAGCCGGAGCAAAGAGGAGTATTCGTTCTAGGTATTCTAGGAATCAGAATGTTTCAGTTCATTAGTCCAAACACCCTTAAATGTGAATTCTCCATTGTCTTTCTCACTATAACTTAGGGCTGCAATTAAGAATTATTCATCAAATGGCTTTTTATCTTTTGAATCTGTATGCTCCACTTAACCATTAATGGGTTGCTAAATTAGCTGAACATAATTTCAATAATTGATTAAACATGATTAATCATTTTAGCCCTTCTATGAATGAAAGTAATTTGTTTAATTATAATCAAACCAAGGTCTTGTTTTTAGGGCGCGTTAAAGGCATCGCTAAAAACATGCAATTGACAATTTAATGCAGCTTTGTTGGAAACATTAGAAAGTAGAGGAAAGGACAAAAAAATTGATTATTACTGTGAACATCAAAATATTATGAGTTCAAATATGCTCATACTTCATCTAGCTTGGTTTGGAAGAGTCCTTTAATCTTGTCTTTGTGAGACTGACACACCAAGTGGAGCTGCTCTGCCTGACCTGACAAATCCCTGTGTTTTTCCTGGGAAAAGAGAGGAAGATGGAAACAAGCTTGAGGTCAAGTGGAATATCAACCTTTACACCAAAGTCAATGAGTCGAGGGAGATTCTTGTTGCCAGTGATGAAAACATGCAGAATGGCTCCAAGCATGACCAGTTACCTTCTCCTGCTCCAAAAGCTGCTGCAGATTGGAGCGATACTGAGGAGTCTTCATGTGAGCCATAAATTGGAGGTACTGGACTTTGATGTTATCTGGAAAACAGAGAGTTCAGAGAAAACATAATAAATTCATTAATTTTTTTTGCAATTCGGTTCAAGAAATTCACTCTCGTTGGACAGTTATTTGCTATTGCTTCAAAGGACATTTTATAGAACGCTAAAGAAACCATCTAAAAAAAGTAGCATGGGAATAAAAGTGACCAGTATGAAAAAAAAAGTCAGAATAAACTTTTTCAAATCATAATGTGTGTGTCATTATTAGCTTACCAAGTAGTTGTTGCAGACCCGGAGGAGTTGGGCTCATCAGCAGCTGACTGGGATTATAGTGCTGGACCTTGGGAGGTAGCTGGTAGAAGGGAGTCTGAGGTGGCCGGTATGCATCTATACACAAGAACATTTGCAATTGAGCCTAATATTATTTTACTTTTATTACAACTTTCATTAGATAGTTTTTTTTTTTTTTTGCTAAAGTAATGTGCATCGTGTGTTAAAGATGTGTGACCCCACTGACCCTGAGGTGGTGCTGCAGAAAGGGTCTTAGCATGCAGCAGGTCTAATGCGCTCTGATTCTTCTTATTCTTCTCAGCAGCAGGGGTGGCTTTCTTGGGTCGACCACGTTTCTTGTTGTTTAGCTTGCGACCTTTGGCCAGCAGCCGGGTTCTTCGGGGTTTGGGAGGGGGTTTGACCACGGTCACCAGGCTAGGGCGCTCCTCCTCACCACCGGAGTCCTGCTGCTGCTGGACACAGACCAAGATTTATGTGAGTCCTGCGATACTCTTCCATGATTTACACATAAAGTGTTTAGAGACACTCCACAAAATTGTAGATTGAACCATTAATCCAAATGTTTGACCATTTTTCCAGGATCTTTCTTATGCTTGAGGTCAAACACTGATGTTAGACAAGAAGGCTTGGCTTGTGGCCTGTGATCTCATTCATTCCAAAGGGGTTTAACATTTTCCTGGCTCAGACCCAGACTTGTCCAGTAGATTGACAGAGAGGTATGACAGGCATAATAAAAATGGGTACTGCTCTTACTTTGTTTTGCTCCTTAAGCTTTGTGGGGGTGGTGTTATTGCTTTTGCTGTCCTTTGTGTCCTTTTGTTGACGTCGTCTAGCTGCCTCTTGCTCCTCCTAACAGAAAGTACAAACAATGTATCATTTAATAAGAAAAAAGATACTGCAAATAGAGAAACAACTCAAATATTCTGGTGCAACTCACCCTGAGTTTAGGATTCTTTAGACTGGCAAAATAGTTTTCAAGCTGAAACACAAGGCAGATATAGGTATTAGATAAATATGTTGTCACTATTTATACAAGTATTCATTTCATGCAATGTTGGTGTTTCTTTTCAGTTCAATTTAATTTATTTGTACATTGCCAATTCATAACACGTTGTCTCCAGGCACTCTACAAAAACCGTCCTTTCAGTTCAATCCTCCATACATATTAATTGATCTGTTAATAGATCTCAAATAGTTCAGATCATTATTTGAATTAATTTGAAAAAGTTTTCTGTCTAAGGAAACCAAGCAGATTGCATCGAGTCATTGACTTGCAGCATTCGCTCTTCTTGGACAGTAGGCAAGCGCTTGTTTTGTGTCGTTGACTTTACAGCAATCCCCCATACTGAGCATGCGTTTAGTGACAGTGGAGAGGAAAAACTCCCTTTAACAGAGAGAGACCTCTAGCAGAACCTGGCTCAGTATGAGCGGCCATCTGCCATGGCCGACTGGGGGTTTGAGAGGACAGAGCAGATACAACACAAAAAACAGAAGCTCTGATCCAGGGTTACAGTCTATGTTGATGAAAAGTAAACAGTTAATTGGAGAAGAATGTTTAGTTGTTGGGAGCATTATCTCAGCTGGTGCTCTCAACCAGGAAGGTTACCACAGCCAAAGAGAAGGCCGGAGAAGATGTAGCTTCTATTGAGAGAGAAAAAAAACTGAGAGAAAAAAAAAATCAAGTTAGACAGTTGAAATAACAGCAAATAATACAAGCAAGTGAGAGAGTAGAAGAAGAAAGTAGCAAAGTGAGGAAAAGTGGTTAGTTTGTCCTTAAGCAGCCTAAGCCTATAGCAGCATAGCTACAGAAATAGCTCAGGATAACCTAATGAGGCATAAAAAAATGCAGGGAGAACCGCCTTGACAGAATATATTTCTCTGTGCCGAATGGGGGTCGGAGGGACAATGTGGTCTATCAGTGTTTCCATTAGCCTTTAAAAAAAAAAAAAAGTAACAATTGTCTCATAATTTGAAGCCAATTCACAGTTACAATGGGATTTATGAGCCAGTAAAAATAAAATGCCACTAACAACAGCTTTTTCCACCCTCTACTAGGCTTTAACAAGTTGCTGAAATGGCAAACAGACGGCTTTCTGATCAGCAATAATCTGTGAAAACCATTGGGTCTTTAACTGCTTTCATTCTCAGGACCAGTGACAGAATAAAACACAAGATGGCTCTGTGTTGGGCTCAATCCATTCATTGGCTCTAATGAATTATGCACTACTCCAATATTCAGTGTTCAATATCTATTTTTCTGTCCTGCAATTAAAGAGAAGCGATAGCATTAGGTGCTTACTATAGTGCGGTCTATGGTATGAAGGTAGTAGGAAACCGGCTTTCCAGTCCACGACACCGAGCCCCTCAATGGAGAGAGTTCCACCACGCGCATTATTGTGCCAATATCTGCAACACAGAAGCAACACATGTAATCAAAAACAGAAATAGAACAATGAATGAAGTGTTAAATGCTGAAATCTTACCGCTCAAGTTTCGACTGTTGATTCGAAAATTTAAAGGTGCAAAGGGTTTGGAGGACACAATTTTGCCACCTGGAAAGAAAGGAGAAAGAAAATGCAACTATAATAAGTGTGTGCATTTAATTAAATAAATGCAGTGTATGCAGTGTGGGAAACACAAAATAGAAATTAGTAATCAGGAAACACAGTTCAGACAGCATTTCAACATTGCTGAAACACGGAAGGCTTTAGTAAAATAATATATGGTTAAAAAAACACCATCCATTGTTTTAACTTACATAGCCAATATTTACTAAACATACATCTTTATTCCTTTGCCTTTTTGAACCACGAGGAACACAAATAATGTTGCATATTGCGAATGCTGGACAGAAACATTCCACTGCTTGACACTGAACTCTTCAGGAAATAATAATCATGAAAACAAAAGATTAACATTTAGCTTGTAGATGTAAATTCTTCTGCCAATTTCGAATCCCCGTTATTTATCACTAGATATTTACAGATGGAACTTCAGATGGATATAAAGATTGGTCAATAGAGTTAATTAGCAGAAATAAACTAAAATGTTTATAAATAAAGATACCAGGTTTTTGCTTCCAGGTTGTTGAGCACATGTTTGGCTTTACAAAACAGAACTTGGTTTTAAGGGTAGAGCAAATTTCTTTAGAAAAAAACAGTTGGACTTAAGTGAATGAATTGTTTTGGTGCTCTAAACAGATTCAACTGAGTCGCAGAGTTGCAAAAGCAGTGGAACATTCAACCTATTTTGTATATTTAAGTAAAATATTAAGTACAAAATCAGATACATATTGTTTGCTGAGGGGAACGTTATCACTCTTTTCTCTAGAGAGCTGCTCTCCCAGTATACAGCTGAGCTTGGACATAAAAACATCTATGAGTATCATTTACACATGAAAATAACAATAACATATAGATATCTAATATCTATATAATTTATAAATATTGCATCTATGCATTTCTTTGGCCACAGATTAATTTCTCACCTTTATGTATAGCTATGGAGTCAATAAAGTGTCGATTGATACATAAATCTGTCGAACAATTTCTGCCCAATTGAAGAAAGTCAGCACAGATTTTTTTTCAATCAACAGCTCCCACTGGAGCACAGACTTCAAAACTGCTTGTTGTAAAGAAAATAAACTTACCCTTCGAATCGTTCTAATCTGCTGTCAAAATCCTTTTTTACCACAAGAATCAAAATGTTGGGAGATCTTGCTTTGTCTTTTCTCTTGTTTGCCAGCATTTTTTAGCAAAAGTCTCTGATGTTTATTGAACAAAAACTAACAAACAGACCTTTTAAGTTGTGACTACACCTCGGTCTCTGAAAACTGACAGGTCTGATACTTTCATGACGCGAGCGCAAAAGTAGAGGCCGTCGATGTCGCAGAGTCGGTCTGTCTTCATCTGTCTATACCGTCCCGATCTGAGCTAAGTAATCTCTTTTGGGCTGTCAGTCGGTACTTTAAGTACAATAGCGCGGATTTTTATAAAATAAATGTTGAAAAATAGTCGATTTTGGAAGCTCTGGCTCATCATTGTCCGCAAAGGGTTCATTGAGAACTTACCTTCCTTCATGTTTGCAAAGCGCTCCTTCAGCTGGTGATCTACTTCTGGACCAAAGGCAAAGTTATTCACAAAAATAATACTGTAAAACAGACAGAGAAGTACATAGTTTAGAATTTTAGTCCATACAAAGAAAAGTTAAATCAATCGTTCCTGGAAGAGATTTAAGAACATCGTAATGGTCATCATTTCATACACAGAGTAGAGTGACTAAAAAAAACTGTGTTAATAGACACTGTTAAATCCAGCTATTTCTGAGTGGGAAAGAGATCTAAATAATCACAAAAGAAGAGAACAAGAAGAAAAAACAACAAGCTTACATGTTATTACAAAAATCTACAACTGTTTCAAATATAAATTACGATCACTCCAGCTTGTCCACATGTATGTAAACAAAAATTATTAACGAGATTTAGTCACATAAATTACAAATAAATATAATGACCAGAATCTGAACACTAACCCTAACTTTTCCACACTCAAAAAGGAATGAGTTAGACTTCCTTGTAAAGTGAAAAGGAGTCTCCTCTGTTGAATTATTAATATTTATATTGAACATAAAAAGCGTCTGTGAGCAACCCTGTATGGAGCTTTACCTTGTGGTGGCTATCCTTTCTTTCCATTCTTCAGATAGAAAATCACCTCTCTCCAGCTGAAAAAACACAATACAAAAAAGCCTGAATACATATTGGAAATGAAAAAAAAAATCTAAATCTGTGAAGTAGAACAAATAGCATAGAACTTACTGTGTACTCCCCATGCTTCTTCCCATACCATCTCATCCACTTTTTAAACTCTTTATCCATGGTCTGAGAAAAGAAACCATCTCGAAATCATTAAAAATAATAGATTACAGACAGAAAACAAGATTCTTCAACTAGTATTCTGTAAACTAAATTCAGTCAAATTTCTATTAAAAAGATGCCAGTCATTGAACAACTTTTACAACAATTAGGAGGTGTCTTTCTCCAGAAACACTTTGTTTAGGCCACAGTCAAAAGAAAAATACCTTCTACAAAAGAGGTAAAATAGCTTCTACAAAAGAGCTTTGAAGAAGCTCTTTTGCTAAGGAAACTGCCAAGTCCTGACTCAGAGGCCCATCATTGTGTCACTGTAATAGTCTCATCCAGTCTTTTAATAGCACAAATCGCTATTTTTCAAAGGCTGGCTGTAGACAGTTCCCCTAACATCACTATTTTACTTTATTAACAGTTTAAACAACAAGAGTGTTTGTAAAAGCTTCACAACACCAATTAGCTGATGTCTCATCTGCACCAGAAAACAGAAGTTATGCAAACAGTTTATAGCAAGACTTATTCAAACCACTTGTTGATGAGGAAAAAACAAGTAGAGTTTAAGAACCTATTTGGAAATGACCTTTATAGACTGAGGGAATAGTATCGACTGCGAGAGCAGCTGTATGCGGTGCATTGACCTACTTAAAATCAACGATGGGTAACATCAAAATAAACTGCAGGAAGAGAGGAGATGGTGATATTGTGTTATTCTGACACTAATCCAAAATGTTCTTCTTAAAGCACAATGTATTTTCTTTTCTCTTACACGAGACAAAACATTTTTAAACATGACTCAGAATTTTTATTAGCTGCTTGTCTTTGTAAACCTTCCACTGGTTCTTGACAAAACCGGTTCAGAGCAGAGAATATTGAAACAATTTGTTAATCTGTGCTGGAGCCAGAGTTTGAGGTGGACTGTTCTAAGTACTACAAATCCTCTTCAGAAGAAAGAAAATATAGACTTTTTTTATTTGGAAATCACAGTCTCGGAGTCTGGAGGAAGAGTAGTTGCTTGAGGTCCAATGTGACATTTCTGGACAGTGATGACATGGGGAGCCATTTTATCTGGTGTTAGTCCACTAAGTTCTTTTAAGCCTAAAATTTGAGCAACAGTCTACCAGGAAGTTTCAGTACATTTTATGATTCAGAACAGGAATTTATGCAAAAGAAGTCTGGATGTTCTGTATAAAAATCTAGTTCTTATTGGTTTGCTGCAATATGCAAATTATCTGAGTGAATTTTGAGTTTTCATAAGCTGCAAGACATAATCTTGAAAATTAAATTAATTAAACTTTTGAAATATATTTCTTCATATGTAATGAGTCTTGAAAACAGGAGTTTCACTTTTTCAATTTAATTTCTTAAATTAACTTATTCAAAACAGTCACCTTCTTTCCCCCCCATTTGAAAAGTTATATGAACAGAGTGCTAATTACACAGTTACCTCTGCATAACTAGCTGGAATGTCTGCTTTCTCTACTCCATAGTAGTGTTTACAGTTTGTTGCTGCTGCAACCTGCAGCACCACCTGCCCCACTCCTGTAAACAAGACGAATCAATGCTTAATCAAATGTACTAAAAGTTTAAAATCAGTGTACTCGTTGAATGAAGCAATGTGTAAATCACTAAACCAACCACTGCCAAGGTCAACAAATGTGTCTTCTTCCATCATTTCCATCTCATCGATGATCTGAGCCACCAGGTCGAATGAGGTCTCTCCATACACCTCTGGGGAGAAGGGTTCGTAGTTGTTCAGCTTCTCAGGGTCGGTCACTGAGTGGTTGTACACCTGCTGTAGGATGTGTCTCAGCAGCCCGTTGGAAGGACGCTTGTTTAGCTTCATGGGCTGGGTAGTCCCCTTCCACTGCAACCAGATTTTGTTTAATCGATTAACTTGCCACAGATCAGATTGAAGAACAATTCAGTGTCTAAAAATACGACACGTGTTGAAACTATATGAACAAAAAACACTAAAGAGTCATTGCTTTGATATTTCGTTTGAAGTCTTGAAACTCGAATATTAACAGGGGGAGGGGAAATTTATCAGATAACACTCAGGTACAGCTGAGATTGAAAGAAGCAATAACACACAGACACGATATTCCCCACCTGCTTGTGACTAATACTTTCGCTCCACGTACAGGGTAGTGAGAAAGTTCCCACATGTATACTCACCAGCTGGTGGATGCTGTCAATGGCCCTGTTGTACTTGTCACAAAGTCTCTGCATGCTCTCAAAGCTGCAAGAAAGACAACATGGGTAGCATGGTCGTCATATGATGGCGAGATTACAAAGTTTATCTCAGCTTCTCTTCTGTGTAGCTAGCATGACTGTTTGGTATTTAATGCTTATATCAAGGGTTTAGTTTAATTCACATCAGTGTAAATTTTGAAAGTGATGCAAACCAAGACTTACCTCTTGGTGTCATAATCGATGAGAACATAATTTTCCATTGCAAGTTTGAGGTCAGGGATTTCCTCACACACCCACCTAGAAAACAAAAAACACCCACACACATCCACACACAAGATTATCACTAAATTGATCGTCACACTTGAGCTGATCAGGAGAACGTGGGAGTGTTCAGTGAGTGGGTGGGGGACTGTTGGCGATGTCACTTACCGAATGGTCTCGATGATTTCGTGAGCAGCATCGTGGTGTTTATCCTGAAAGAGAGAGGCAGTGAGGCATAATAAAACCCCCAACATGACACATCACTCTATTTGAGATACTACATTTAATTGGATCACAAATTACCGGCGTTGAAATGAGCAGAAAATAATTAAAAGCTCAAGAAAACAACAGTCCAAACAAAAATAAGGGTATTAATTATACAAAACATGGGAGGTTGATTATAGTATTTTGCAACTAGAGTGACATGCCCAAAACATCTATTATGTCTGATTCATCCTCTCATTACAGAAACTCGAAGCAGAAAACACAGCCACCTCAGACATAACTAAAAAGTTCCTGAGGACAGATTTGATATCTTGGGAACGTTTTGTTTTACCGAAATCGAGGTTCTGAGTTATAAACGCTGCGTGACCCCGCAAAACAAAACTTAAAGCTGCATAAACAACATCTCAGAAAACCAAAGCTGAGCATTTTCTAGACTCAATATCAGTGAGGTGTTGAGTCAAATGAAGAACAACAGCTGTAAGAACCTTCAAAAAAAAAAAAAGAAGAAGAAGAAAAGAAAACGAAAGGCTCATTTAGCAGATAACAGGAGGGAATTGAAAGTTACCATTTTGGCCATCCAAAGAGTCCAAATCTGTCTGAAACACCAGATCACCAGAACCAGATAGGCAAAGTTTCCTCTCTGATCAGTCAGCATCAGTCAGAACTATGAATATGACACTTGGAACTATTAATCCATACCTTTCCATCTCTTTTCTTTCCTTACTTACACATTGTCCCCACCAGACCCTGTGAGTTTTGGTATCTCGCCCACTAAAAATATATATCAGATGTGGGCATTAAAGGCAGCATGAGTGCATCCAGATGGCCAAATATATTATCAGTATGCACCGCAGCATCTGAAATCCTGCCAAATATCACATCCAAGCAGTACTCTGGGATAGAAATATTGCACAGATGGGTGTTGCAGAGACAACTGCATTCAGAATATTATACAGCATTATTCAGCACATACACTGGATTGCCTCACGCAGTGGAGAGAGGTGTTGACACGCATCTCGTATTTAAATGGATCAGAGTCGATTCAACACAATGGGGCCCCCAGAACAATTTATTCTTACATTTATTTATTTACTGGGTTCTACATTTATGTCTTTATTGAAGGAGGAGACTATACAATTTATATAACCTGGGACCACAATGCTCATTGACATAACTGAACTAAAGGCTGGCTTCACAGTTTAAATAAGAAATGTTGGTTATTGATTAATAAGACTAAAGCTGATTGATAATGTCAATCGACTAACAATTAATTGATAAGTTGACATTTTCTCTCATATCAAGAGGGTCTTGCTTTAACATAATGGTCTAATTTTTTTAATAATATGCTAAATATAAACAAAGAAGCACAAAGCAGCAATGTTTTATGCCATTAAGGTGATAACAAGAATTAAGGTTCTTGTTGCGTGTTTACATTTCGAAACAGAACTGCATGAAGTGCCAGACTCTGGACCATTTCACTTTCCTGCACTGGGATGCCTCCATCATAATTATTTCCCTTCTAACTGTTCCACTTAAGAATGACGAGCAGCACCCTCTTCTGGAAGGTGGGCCACACTACAACATTAAAGGAAGGTCTGTTTAAACAGAAGTTATTACTCTAACTGAACTAATTTTGATCTAATTAGCCAATTTTTGACAATGAATTGTATTTGATTGCATTCCTAATTTAAATAAAGAGTTTTAATATTTACTGGCACAGCAGTGTTTTCTTTAGATGTTGCATGAGGCCCTTTAGTTCTCCGCCCAAAACCAGATGGGCCAGAAGCCAACTGTAAGGAAGCATCAACAGATGCACAGATGTGGATGAATAGGGGAATAAACGGGATGAAACCAGATGAACCAGCTCAATCATTTAATTAAGGCAGTTTTACATGGGCTTGGCTCTAAAACCACCTCTTATTCTCCAATAGTTAGAGCAAGCAACATGCGTATCAAAACACAGTCAGCAATGTGTTCATGCTCTGTGGGTGAGATAACGAATCTCAACTACTGTGGGTGGAACATATTTTTAAAGAGACGGTTCTGCAGTTAGCTGCAACAAAATCAAGACGACAACCTCACCAGGAAATTTGATAGGAATAAATTCTTTATGCAGACATTGGTGCAAGCCTTTTGTTCTATGAACACGGCAGAGCAGGAGCAGTTGCACACCTTCCTCCCTGCAGTTCTGACCATATGGACAAGAGAGGAGGGAGAGAGAGGAAAGAGGAGTTGTTTCCCTTTGAAAACAGGAGGAGAGCACCGTATGACTTCAGAACTCCACATGAATCAGCTGCTTCTAATTCAACTCATGACAACTAGTCCCGATATAAACAGATCAGGAATGTATTAAATTTCTGACATTGTTGGCGCCGTGAGACACGAGAGCGTGCGTGCAGTTAACGTGGAGGCGGAAAATGCAAGTGACTCAGTAACCCAAGGAAACTCATTTGGTGCATATTTTGATAACGAAATAAACGGACTGACTGAGGAAACTGAAAGAACTAGATTGACGAGGTAGACTACAGTGTGGGCGGAGAGACAGGTACTACAAAGAGACACAACCCAGGCATTCGGAGAAGTTCAGCGCTTTCAGTCAACACAGAGCGTCTCACCGTAGTTACTATAAATGTGCACTTACACCACTAAAAAACACCACAAAACTGTTCTCAGCTTTGCTTTCCGTTTCTACTGAATGAGCGAAATGCTCCAGCTACTGACATGTAGACAGCTCCTCAGAAATACTACACAGAGGGAAAAAAACTCTTTCACAGCAAAACTAAATAGCTAATAGAAAAGAACAGGTTGTAAATCAACAGAGCGCAAAAAATATGGAATGAAACACAAAAGTGAGCTCTAAAAGCTGAAATCAGTCTTAGCAAGTCTCCATAGTCACATGTTGCAACTAATTTTAAAATTCAGAACAGATTTTATAGTTCATGATGAGCGATGAGTGCTTCTGTTAGTCTACTTAGGCTTTTAATAATAATTGATATTTACAAGAATAATAAAAATCATGTGAAATTGCAAGTGTATTGGCAGCAGCTTGCAGCTGTTAGCGTGTGTTTACACTAAATCTGATCTGAAACATGGAAATTTGGTAATAATTACTAAAAAGACTTGAATTACTCAAACAAGCTTTATTATGAAGTGAAACATAACTGGTCAGTGAAACGTAAAAAAAATGAAAGAGAGTAAGTGAAAGAGTCAGTTAGTGAGATTTATGTAAAAAATTGTTGATGAAAAATAAGAGACCCAGTGTACATAATTGTTCTCTTTTTTATAGCCAGTGATTAAAAAAAACAATTTCACTGCTTCAGTTTAAAAAACAATTAAGTTTAGATTCGTCAGTCAGCAACACAAACAATCTGTGCACCGTTTAGGTCAATTGTGCAGAGATATATTCAAATTGCAATTCAAAACAATTTATTTCAGTTGAAAACAACTTAATTTGCTGTTCATTTCGATTCAGAGTTGTAAAACCAAGCAATCAACTCAAACTGATGATGACTATGCTTAACAGATGAATTCCATTCAAACACAAATAAGTGATACATTTTTATTCAAAATATGATTTATTTGAATTTTTGCAAAGTGTTTCTTATCATCCCATTTGTGCTACTTTGGTGGTGGAATGAGGCAGCTTAACTCATAAGAGAGACGATGACTCAAGTTTGAGTCCTTGAGTTGAGACACAAAAATCAGAGAGTTCAGACGTACCTCAGATCTGTGTCCTATAGACCACGGACTCCAGGTCTGAGACTTTAGTCTTAGTAACAGAGTCTATCTCATGTGATGAAGAGTGAACGGAAGCAACAGACAGCATCTGCTGCACAGGTTTTATAGTGAAAGGATGCCCTTCATCTTATTATCAGAGCTGTTTTTGTGCTTAGCAGACTCTACAGTCTACAGCGTTAGATCCACTGCCAAAAAGACTTTTTCAGACTGTTTTTCTTTGTCGCCTGTCATTGCTATAAATACTTGGAGATATAAACTTAAACGTTTACAGCAGTATCACTCATCCACAACTCTAAACCTTTATGAAAATCAAATTTGGCTTTGACAGACACAGTTTTAGTCATGTTTCTGCTCTCCAATCCATCTTTTTAGCTTCATCCAACTTTCTACAAAGAGCATGTTGCCTCTCTTAAACTTGAAAGTGCAACTTTAATAAAAAAAATCGGTGTCTTCTTCTAACACTGTGTGTACTCCTCGCTCTTAAAAAGGATCGACTAGCACAGTTGAATGGGTGGATGCCCCTTTGAGTGTATGCACTCAAAGTTCTCCAGCTTTCAACCTAATTTTTAGACGCACTTCAAAGAAAACGGTTCCAAAAGAGGCAAAAATAGATGTGCACTCTTTTTTGTTGCAGCCAGCAAATCTAAAGTTAGAAATACTAGCAGTGTCTGAGCTTTTCTGTAGGAGAAACAGAGCTCGGGTTTCATCCAGAGTGCAGTCAGGCTGAGCCCGTCGCTTGCGCTGACCCACTGACCCACTGACCCACTTTCTGTCTCCTGTTCCAGATCATTGCCAAGGAGAGCAAGAAAAGACGGAGAGCACAACATCAGAATACAAGAAAAGTTTAAAGAAAAACTTGCAGCGTTCAAAAAAAAAACTACAAACTGGCAGAACCGAAGAGCCACAGAGAGGATGGGAAACGGGACAGTTTTGCGGCCTGGCACAGCAGCTACAGCTAAGAGCTAACAGCTCGGCGTTCCCAGCTTCCCGCTCAATACTGCCCGCCTCTACTACGCAAAACGTCTGCCAAACATAAAACCTGCATGCACACACAAACTTTTATAAAGCTACTAATGACATCTGCACACCAGATATACTATATGCATCGTACCGCATGTAACATTTACACTTACAGCATCAAGCCAGGCAGCTGAAAAGCAGCATGAACTATAGGCTTTCTTGAAAAAATTGCTTTGTATAGTAGATATAAACCTTTGACTTCAGAAGTTGTAAGTGGTATGCAAAGGCATGAAAATGACTGTGTGCATAAAAAAAAGAGAAGCAGTAGGGGGAGGTCACCTGCTAAAATGAAGACAGCACACAGCACGCAGCAACACCAACAGCGGGCTGCTGCTAAAAATAAACGCTGTCTGACAAGCCAGAGACAAAAAGACCAGAAGACCCTCCCTTCTCCCTCCCAGCTGTGGCGCTGACTGATGCATGTTCAACTCTGCCTGTGCACGCAACACAGAGAAAACTCTTCAGTCAATCTGCTGTCAAATCAGAGTGACGCACAGTGGGCACAGGGGCTTCATGCCACACACTGTTTCCCTTTGTAACTCAGCGGCCCACAAGAACAAATGACTGAAGCAGGCTTACACCTGACTACTACTCTAACTCAAAACAACCAAACAGTAGCATGAATGCTTTAACTAAGCTAAAGAGCTCTTCTCGCACCTCTTCAGAGATAAGCGACGCGCTTACAATGACGAGGGCAAACTGACCTCGAACGGTTAGTTTCACACTTTGAATATAGAATTAAAAGTGTGTCAGAAAATAAAAAGCTGCATAAATATTTCAGAGAGGGTGAGTGGCCAGCGAACAATGTAGTGTGTGTTTAACAGCACTGAGACACCTTTTAGATGTCTCTCGTTTAGATGTCATCTGAGGCCTCTTAATGCCTCCACCCAAAACCAGATGGAACAGGAGCTGCAACACTTCGGAGGATGTGAACTTCATATGGAAGCATTTACAAATGCACACATGGTGAGATGGAGCGAACACAAAAACAAGGGCTAAACTGGACAAACAGATCTGGACTTGGTCCTAACCATTCGTCTTATTCTCCAACAATCGGAGCAAGCGCATGAAAAGCCAGTGAGCGATTCGTTGGTTGTTTGTGAGACAGTGAGATAACGAGTCTTAAATTAAGTGTGTGTGGAAAATGTTTTTACTAAAGAGGATCTTTAGTTAACAGCGATTCATTTCATTAAAGAAAACCTAACAAGTAGGTTTGATTGGAACAAACACCACAGAACAAATATCGAAACAAGGCTTCTGGTGATATAGCACAGACCTGACCATATGGACAAGTGAGGAGGGCGCAGAGAGCGAGCGAGGGAGTGTTTTCCTCTCAAAACAGAAGGCGATGACTGTATGAATCAACTCCATGTTCAAGAATCCCATGAAAAAAAAAAATCAGCTGTTTCTAATTTGATCCATGGCAACTAGTCTCCATGTGAACAGCTATCACGCAGCTCGGAAAAGACATTATATTCCTGACATTCCTGGATTTTGAGTTCAACCTTAAAACTCGGGACTGCGCAAGTTGGCTAAAGTGGAGGCAGCAAACGCTAATGACTCAGTAAAAAAGATAATATAAAAATTTTTTAAAACTCATTCGCTGCATATTCTGATCACGAAATATCTGACTGACTGTCGAAACTGAAAGAAGTTGATTGACTAGATAGACGATGCTGTGGGTGGAGAGAGATAAACTACACAGAGACCCTATCCAGGCATTCAGAGAAACTCAGCGCTGGCTGTCTCATCATACTTACTATAAAATCTGAACGTGAGCCACTAAAAACACAACTGTTGCCAGCTTCTTTTCCGCTTCTGTTGAAAGAGTGAGCTACCACCAGCTCCTGCCATACAGACACCTACATGGAAGCCCAGCTGAGATTACAGACTGTTTCTGTCTAGCATAACAAGCGTTGCATGAGAAGAGCTAGATTAAGACATCAACTGTTCACTGAGTTTAAAACACAAAACAAATGAATAGTTCTTTAGTCATAGTGATGTTACTAAATGGATCTAAAAGAATATGACAACAGCAATGACATAAACAAGATAGATCAATATCAGGCTGTACACATACACTCATCAAAACAACATTCATTCGTTTGGTGTTTCGCTGACTAGGCAGGAAGTTGTGTTGACCAACACCAGAAGTCAGGGGCTAAAATTTCATGTTTCCGTGCATTAAGTACAACAAGATCTGTGCGGGTTCTACAATTCAAACATGGAAAAGAGAGAAACACTTGTATCCGTTCATGCTACGAGTAAAAGCACAAGAGAGGAAAACCAGAGGAGAGTTAAAACGATCTTGAACAAAAATAACAGCCTGGCTCCATCATTTTAGACAATAATTTTATCTGACAGTGTCCAGCTGAATGTCACCGGTTACTACAACCAAACAACCTCGTTAGTAAATCAAAACTACAATTACATCTCCGACAGCATAGAGTGTAAAATGTTTTATTTGAAAAAAAAACAAACAAACAAACAAAAACCTAACGGCAAACGGGAGAAAAACAATCTGCAACTGTCAGACCAGAGTGACCCAAGTCCCCCGACGAGATACATCTTCTTCTGTTACCCAGGGCTAGCCAAGGGCTAACACAGCTAACAAAGACAATATCTTAAGACTAAACATAAATTTGTCCCAGCTTGGTGCTGAAGGGTATCACTTACGTATACTGGTAACGGCCAGGGATAACCAGCGGGTTCCGCTCCAACCGGCGATTTGAGCTTGAGCTCCAGCTTTTCTCCCATTCTCCACTCTGATAGAGAGCTAACTAGCTCCTGACTGCTCGGTTAGCCAGCTGCTCGATAAGCGAGCGACTCACAACGGGAACATTTTGTAAAGGGGGGTGAAAAAAACGGCGAAAACTTGAAAAATCAAAACGACCTCCACATTCGCCACGGGAAAAATGCACGCGCGACGCAGTCAAGTGTGCGCGAGAATCCCGCTCGTTTTAATATTATTTATAAAACGCCTATTATGTGCTCACTGGCAGGAACATCTCGTCCGTTCCGCCGCCATCTTGCCCGGCATGAATAAATATGGCAGGAGGCCACTGGCACGAGAGGAGGACTGTGACGACTGCGCGTGAGCCAAAGCTCGCGAGCACGAGTGCTCTACAACTGTTTCCGAACTGAGTGAGGGACATGACATCACAACTATTTTCCAGATAAATACCCGAACAGTTTGTTTGCGTGAAGCTGAAGTATTTCACAATGTGTAATTTCCATTCACTTAAAGTAATAAAATCTGATAATTAAGAACATGCAACAAACTTGAAAACAGCTGCAAATTCCATCGAGTGACAGCTTCGTTACTCATTATCCTATCCATCAGGCGCGTGCAAAGAGGGGGAGCAAAGGGGCCCTTTTATCCTTGATGCTCCTAGTGCCTTATTTGCTTTTATTATATATATATATGTGTGTATATATATATATCTGTACTGACTGGATAGCTCAATACATAAGGCATCAGTATATCACCGAGAGGGCAGGGTTCGAATCCAGTCTGGGTCCTTAGGCAAGACCCTTCAAGCTACTGCCTACCTCATACCATGAGAGATAACATGCCGGCCAAACAAGGTCTGCGTCAGGTGTTGGGGAACCAGAGCACCTTGATGACAAATGGGCTACTGGAACAAGACGGAAATGGGCGAGAGATGAAAATGTGGATCTGTTGGAATGCTACTACTCAAGTAACCCTAGTCAGAGAGGTTACATGCAAAGACTGGGGAAGGAATGGTTACTTCGACATCCCCAGTCAACACTAAGCGCTAAACAACTAGTAGCTCAGTGTTCCAACATCCGCAAACGGCAACTGCTATCACAACTTGAGATTGACGAGATACAACACAAATGCTACGGCAAAAGGGAGGAACCCGGATGTCAGGACTGTGGGGACTTAACTACAAGTCCCCACCCAGTGAGGGGATACACGGCCCTCTAATAAGGAGGGAAGTGAGCCAACTGTCAGAGCTCCACAATGGGTACAATGAAAAGACCAAACAGGCTCCAAGCCTTGGCCTAAAGAGAGGGAGAATGAATCCAGAAGGATTAACCGGCTCTTCTCCACTCAACCAGCTAAGGTGTACTCTCAATGGCAGGGTAATAACAACAGAGCAGACCCACCAAGGCTGGAGACTGAACAATACAACAGCAATGCACAGTGGTTGATCTCTCTACGAGAGGACCACAGCAACCTCCCCGGAGAAGCCCCGGGGATGTTCAAGAAAGAGTCTCAGGTATGAAAAACTGGACAGCACCAGGGCCTGACATGATCCATGCCTACTGGCTAAAGAAACTCACTGCTCTCCATGAGCGACTGGCAGCCCAAATGAACCAGCTGCTACAAAGTGGGACTCACCCTGAATGGTTAACTGAAGGGCGGACAATCCTAATCCAGAAGGATCCATCAAAGGGTCCAGTCCCACCCAACTACCGACCAATAACCTGCCTCTCCACAACCTGGAAGCTCATGTCAGGCATCATAGCGGCCAAGATAAGCAAACACATGGATAAACACATGTAAATACCAGAGGAGCCAAACACCAACTCCTCGTAGACCGCACAGTTGCCCGAGACTGCAAAACCCGACACACCAACCTGTGCATGGCTTGGATCGATTACAAGAATGACTCAATGCCGCATACTTGGATCATTGAATGCCTAGAGATGTATAACATCAAACTCGATGAAGCTGTGGAAAACCACCCTTGAAGCCAACTGCAAACCACTTGCACAAGTGTCCATCAAATGTGGCATATACCAAGGAGATGCTCTGTCCCCGCTACTGTTCTGCATAGGCCTGAACCCCTCAGCCAAATTATCAACAAGACTGGCTACGGATACCGACTCAAAAATGGGGCCAACATCAGTCACCTCCTCTACATGGATGACATCAAGCTGTATGCCAAGAGTGAGCGAGACATCGACTCACTGATCCACACCACCAGGATCTACAGCACTGACATTGGGATGTCATTCGGACTAGAGAAGTGTGGTCGGCTGATCACAAAGAGGGGGAAGGTGATCCACACAGAAGGAGTCTCGCTCCACAAGGAACAATAGCAGACATAGAGGACAGTTACAAGTACCTAGGTATACCACAAGCAAATGGCAACCTCGATGAGACCACAAGGAAAGGAGCCACAGCTAAATACCTCCAACGAATAAGGCAAGTCCTGAGAAGCCAGCTCAATGGCAAGAAAAACAAAACAGCTATGCCCTGCCAGTAATCAGATACCCGCTGGAATAATAGCTGGCCAAAGGAGGAGATAAAAGCCACAGATATTAAGACCAGAAAACTACTAACAATGCATGGAGGGTTCCACCCCAAATCCAGCATCCTGAGACTGTACACGAGCCGCAAGGAAGGAGGCAGAGGACTAGTGAGTGTGAGAACCACTGTCCAGGACGAAACAACTAAGATCCATAAATACATCAGGGACAAAGCCTCAACAGACAATGTGCTCAGTGAATGTCTCAGACAACAGGGAACGGAGGTTGAGGTGCCAGAGATATCATGGAGGACAAGCCCCTACATGGGATGTACCACCAGCAAATAACCCAAGTGGCTGATATCAGTAAATCCTACCAATGGCTGGAAAAAGCTGGACTCAAGGACAGCACAGAGGCCCTCATCCTGGCCGCCCAGGAACAGGCCCTAAACACCAGAGCAATAGAGGCCAGATCTACCACACCAGACAAGACCAAGGTGTAGGTTGTGCAAGGAGGCCCCTGAGACAGTCCAGCACATCACAGCAGGGTGCAAGATACTGGAAAGCGTACATGGACGACATAACCAAGTGGCAGGCATAGTGTACAGAAACATCTGTGCAGAATATGGACTGGAAACCCCGAGATCAAAGTGGGAAACACCCCCAAAGGTGGTGGAGAACGCCAGAGCTAAGATCCTGTGGGACTTCCAGATCCAGACAGACAAATGGTAATGGCGAACCAACCAGACATTGTCGTAGTGGATAAACATCAGAGGAAAGCCGTTGTGGTAGATGTAGCAATACCAAGTGATTGCAACATCAGGAAAAAGGACCACGAGAAACTGGAGAAATACCAGGGCCTCAGGGAAGAACTGGAGAGGGCCTGGAAGGTGAAGACCACAGTGGTGCCTGTGGTCATCGGGGCCCTCGGGGCAGTAACCCCCAAACTGGAGCAGTGGCTCCAACAGATCCCAGGAACAACATCAGACATCTCAGTCCAGAAATGTGCAGTCCTTGGCACATCCAAGATTCTGCGCAGAACCCTCAAGCTCCCAGGCCTCTGGTAGAGGACCCGAGCTCAGAGGATAAGAACCACCCGCGGTGGGTGAGAAGGGAATTTTTATATATATATATATTTTTTTTATTAATTTATTTATTTTCAATCTATATGTCAGAAGACCTGCTTGTGCCCCCGCAACTTCTGTCTGAGGCCCCACGTAACCTTGGACTGGCTCTGGATGAAGAGTCACTGTGATGCACATCTCTGAAATCTACCTGGAATCTACCTGGAATTTACCTGGAATCCCCTGGAAGCCCCTGGTAGCCCCTATATCAGTCCGCCGATGAATTGGGGACATTTTGATCTATTTAATTGTGGCACGTTTGGCTTTATGCTGCGGTTCTAATTATTGCTACATTTTTGCTGCCGTTTATTTTGCGAGCTCCAATTCCTATGGGCTGAATCTTCCTTTTATCACATTCTACACGCAGCTGTTGCAACAGGCAAGATCTCAGGTGGCAGCAAAACTCCTGCAGAAAAAGCTAACCAGGGAAAGGGAAGCACAGAACGAAAAAAAAAAAAAAAGTAAGTTCTAGAGGATGAAATATGCATCAACCCGAAGCTGAAACATTTCTATAAAACATGTAGAAATGCTATAGATGTTATCAGTCTGTGTGAAGTTTAATCGGGTTAGGAGAAAGTCAGTAAGAAAAAAAAATACAGAGGCAATCTCTCACCCTTATTTTATTTGATACTTTTCATAATGAAGAAAAATTTATGAAGAAATTCAATAAAGTCAGCACTTTAACCTTATTGGGTACATAGACGACTTTTGGAAAATACAAACAAAGAAGAAGGGATCAATGTGCAAGATCAAAGGTCACAGGAGTGAACTATCGGCCAAAAACCCCCCAAAAAGTTCAACGCTTCTAAACAAATATCGATGTCAGCCTTGACAATTTTCAGTGTTGCAATAGTTTTTCATGACAACAAATATCCACTACAAAATCTTTTATTTTACCAAATGAATTAAACAAACAAAACAAAAAAAGAAGTTAAAATTCAAATTAGGCCAGTAGCAATATGTTTTCCTACTTGACACAACTGCAATGTGTTTTTCCAACCGTTGACTCGACTATAAGGTGCAGCTCTTGTCACAGGCAGTTTTGTAGGTTGATGAAAATCAACATTAACAACTTTGTGCAGCTGCTACTGATAATGAACACTTCCAGCATCTGCACAAAATCGATGACTCGTGCATTTGTAAAGCAAATTAGTGCGATTGAGTAAACTGTGCTCAGTGCTGCACAACAGCACGTAATTTGGATGCTATATCAATTCATTAAAGGTTATCTGCACAGCTGTAAAACTTCCACAATGAGGTGGGTTTAGTTTTAATTATCTGCACACTAAAATTATGTCTTCTCATGCACAACTTAAGATTTTGCAGCAAAAGGCCATAGATTTGATGGCAAGGATAACAGAAATTATGGAGAATTTTTATTTTAGGTTGTGAACCTCAAACAGAGTCAATATGGTTTAGTTAGTAGGGTTCAGTCATGTGCAGCTGGGATGTGAACTCAGATTGTAGTTCATCATATAAACTCTGGAGTATCTAAGATGATTTCCTCAAACATTTCAAAACCCTAGCGTCTAATAGTCTAATATTGTTTCATTTAGGAGTTACAAGTAAGTCCAAATCAGATGTGAAAGTGACATCATGAACATAAAAATACGCTCAAATATAATCCACACAGACAAACAGGGGCTCACAACAGTGAAAGCCTCACATCAAATGATCAAGATTAATAGAAAGGTAATATCCAGGGAGAAAGAAAAAAAGTACACAATATAAGGAG